ACACCTGTAGTCCCAGCACTCAGGAGGTGAAAGTAGAAAGGTCAGAAGTTCAAGGTCATTCCCAGATACGTGGTGAATTTTAGACCAGCCTGGGCCACATGAGACAAACAGGATAGTTCAGTGACTATGCTTTCTGGTTTGAGCTCAATCCCTGGTACTCACATGATGGAAAGACAGAATGACTCCCAAGGTTGTCCTTGACTCACACGGTGGAAAGACAGAATGACTTCCAAGGTTGTCCTTGAACCTCTATACCCGTGCAATAGTATATGCATTACGGTACACACACAATCACCCCAGATGCAAAAATTTTTAAAAAGACAATTCACATTTCCCTTATATTTCACGGTCTAGAATTTGATAATACGGCTATTCCGATTAATTAAAAGGTGCTTGGGAGGCCGAGGCAAAAGAACCACAGCGACCTAGTAGGAACTTGCTTCAATTAAAAGAGAGAAAATAAAATAAAACCTTTACTCCAGCGGTCAGTAAAAATACAAGTTCTTTTACCAAGGACAAAGAGGGAAATATATTAAGTTAGGCAATTGCTGTACTTTTTGTTTGTGGTATGTGCATTTCCCACATCTTCCCTCTAAAGGCAAGACACGTAATTGGTACTGTGTCACGGTTCAATTGCTGGATTTTTTTCTTTCTTATTAGAACAGAAACTAATGATGAGTTTTATAGTTGATGACATCTTTCTACTCTAAGAAGGAAAGTGGTATTTTGCCAAGACAGAGAATATATAAGTGAGCAAGAGATTTTCTAGTAGTGAAGAAAAAGAAAGGACATCATTGGTTTGATTTCTCCATCTTAAGTTTGAGAAGGACATAGAAGCAGTTGAAACCTTAGGACGAGAATTCAAGAGTGTGAAGGGGCATGCGATTCAGTTTATGTAGGAAAATTCTTTGAGTTCATAAAGGCTTTGATCGTTTGTACCCATTTCCCAAAACTGATTTCAAGAACGAGTTCCTAACTACACATGGAAATTGTTTCATTGGTTGCCAACGTCTCTAAAGCCCTGCCAGAGGTCATAATAATTTTATAAGATGATACTGTATTAATTCAAGGTTTTTCAATTAAATTAGCAATAAAAATATAAGATGTGATTTAAAAAATTAGTTTGCAGCCAGTAAATGATGATGGAATTTTGCCATGCCTCTGGTGATTTTGTGTGAGACTTCTGATAGAAATATCTGGTTTTAATTTATTTTTCTGGATGCTTTATTAAAGACCCATGTGCAAGGAGCAAAATCAAAAACAGACAACTTTAGATCCACTGTAAATTTCACATGCCATCAGAAATACTAAGCTAAATGTTTCTTTTGGCCACCATGCATGAAATGCAAGCAAGAAGTCAATTCCTATGCTAATGCTCCTATTTTAAACAATAAAATGCAATTTGCTTTGAGATATCCTGTTGAACCTACTAGCATAATCTATAGTTTGGATGATATTGCATTAAAAAACCCAAACAGCAAACTATTTACGCTTCATTATCCAGCTTATATTCACTACCTGAAATGTAAGAAATCAGAAAATGAAAGTAGTTATATTAGTTTTTTTTAATGAGAGCTTAATAAAAGGTAGATTTATGTTTTCAGATCTCCTGCCAGCCCCATGGAGTCCTTATCTGTGGTATCCACCAAAGTATCCAGAAAATGGCATTTGATCAAGGATGGCATTTTAGAAACCAGTGAGGTGTATAGATTGGTGAGAATAACCATAGTAAACATAATTTATACACACTTTTTCTAAGTGACAAGAGAGAAATTCTTTTCTTGCACTTTATATTTATAAAGTTATAAGTAGTTTTCTTTTTCGTTTTGTTTTTGTTTTGAGGCACAACACTACTATGTAGTCCTGGTTGGCCCAGAACTTACTAAGGAGACAAGGCTAGCCTAGAATTTACAGAACTCTGTCAGCCTCTGTCTTCTGAGTGCTGGGGATAAAGGTATGCACTAGCACACTTAGTTTTTTGCACATCTTTTGCTACCCAGTATGTATCAAGTACTAGGCTAAACAAATGAGCATGCTGGTAATTGTAACACTCAGTAGGCTGAGGTAGGAGGACGGTGAGTTTGAAACCAACCTGGGCTACATACCAAGATTCTGTCAGGAGAGGGCGAATAATGAACTAGGCTACATGCTGGGAAAATGATCAGCAAAAACAGATATGATCCTTTCATCAGATAACTGACTTTGCATTCTAAAGAAAGAAGCAACTACGCTGAATTAAAAATTAAGCAAAGGAGACATAAAGAAGGAGACAGGTACTACCCTAGGGGAGTCTACACCAAGAACTGACACGGTCCCAGAAATCAGAGAGGGTTTGTTTGTAGAAGAGTATTCAAAAAGATGTTTCTGGTCGTAGCATGTCTAAGAATTGGTGGCATAATAATTAAGCTATGTATTATCTAATATCACAAAAAATGTGGACATATTTTTGCTCAGGGTTGGTTGAAGGCTTTATCAATGATGTCCAAAGCTCTCCAAAAACTACAGAGAAACCCTGTCTCAAGACCTCCCCCAAAATACAAACAAACAAAAAAAATCAAAAAACAAAAGAATATTTCCAGAGGTGAGATAAAAACTCTTAGAGAATTGATCTTAGAGAGATGGCTCCAGTAGTTGAGAGCACTCGCTGCTCTTTCAGAGGACTTTGATTCAATTTCCAGCACACACCTGGCAGCTTACTCTCTACAGTCCAGCTCCAAGTGATTTGACACTCTCACACAGGTATACATGCAGGCAAAACACCAATGCTCATAAAGTAAAAATAAACCATAAGAAGAAAACTGACCTTATTAGTCAAAGGATTTTTTGCCCTTGCTTCACAAATCATATCTGACTTTTCACAAAGGGCTAAAACTTATAAAATGCAAAATGGAAGAAAAATAAATCTGCAAATACATACAGAAATTTCTGGGGTGGTATTGAAATTGTAGACATCGAGGTTAGAAAGAGCCTTACAATGAAGGTGACATAAGAGCAAAGTTGTAGGATGAAGGACAGCAAAAGAGAGTGGGGGCAAAGGAAAGGCAAGATAAATGGAGAAAGAGTATTCCAGACGCTAGAAAACCATCCTGGGCATAGAGAAGGTCAAAGTCAAAGGCTCTCAGATAGAGAATGGCTGATACATTCTGGGAATAATATAGGTGATTGTGTTTAGAGGGTAGCAATTGAGGGGACAGAGTAAGGAGGGAAGTCAAGAGTCTTTCCCTTCCAGTGCTAGGACTGTGCCCAGGCCCTTCTCCTTGGTCAACAAATGAACCACTGAGCTACATCTGAGCCCCTACTTAGAGCTTTAAATGACAGAAGGTGTCTGACTTTTCTACTGAGGGGCTGAACTAGAAAGCCCTTGGGTGTTTAATAGAAAAGAAGGGAACTCTTTACTCTGACTCAATAGCTTTGACTGTTGTGCTGTGTGGAAGCACATTGGGGGACAATGAATGCAAACATCCCTGCAAAACAGAACTGTGGTTTGGATCAGAGTACAACTAGTAGCAGCAGGGAAAACAGTCAAATGCTGGATATATTTGAAAGATGGGGGCAAAAAGAGAAACTCAGAACCGCCCCCAAGAGTTCTGGTCAGAGAGCACAGTGGTAAAAGTACCTGCCACCAAGCCTGTGACATAGTTGGAGTTATAAAACTGGCTCCTCCAATGTCCCTCTAACCTTCACAATGTATGTCATGGCACATGTTGGCATGCCTACACATACCAATACATACATTTAAAAAATACCCCAAATATTATAAATATCTGAGTGAAGGCTATATCATTAGAAAAACATTTTTTTTTCAGGCATTCTGCTAAGCTCTTACAAAATTAGTGACTCCCATCAATGTTGGAGTATCACCTGATAAACGACGTTGAAAACATTAGTGGATGAACAGCTGTGCTAGCACTTGGGAGGCCAAAGGAGGAAGACTATAGGCTGATGGCTAACCCGGACAACACGGTGAGAGATCCTGTCTCTTACAAGCTCAGTGATAAACTGCACACTCACCCTGGATTGGACCACCAGCCTTGGAAGAAAGAAAAAGAAAAGGATGCTGAAGAACTGAGGAGCCAGATAAGGTTAGATAGGACTCATGTCAGTTAAACCTGGTTATTGTCTAGGATCTTGGGTTATTGTTCCTTTCAGTGGGGATTGGAATGGGATGAATGACAAGTGGAGGGATGACGGAAATGGGGAGAGTAAACAGAATGACTTCGTCCCTTTTCCTGACGGAGGTTTGTGCGTCATAGCTCCAGTGACAACCTTCCATACAGACCCTCTTCCTTCAACCTCAAACCAAAGGTTTACTAGAGATCAAAAGCTTTTAGGACTGCACCACCAGGCTCTGGGCTACCTCCATGCCAGGCAAGCACTCTACCAACTGAGCCAGATTTCATATAAATCCATATGTTGTTGTTGTTGTCCTTCTTCTTCTTCTTCTTCTTCTTCTTCTTCTTCTTCTTCTTCTTCTTCTTCTTCTTCTTCTTCTTCTTCTTTAATCTTTGGCGAGGCCTTATTTTTAGTGTGGAAAATAAGATTATTGTAACTACAGACCATCAAACTGAGCGCAGCCTGTTCTGAAGGCTTGCAAACAGAATCTGGCGACACTTTGAGAAAGTACTACTTTAGTTTCTCAAAGACTCGAGGAGCCCTCCGGCTCTTCCAGTGGGCTCAGACTCAGATATTCTGAGTTCTTTGAAAAATTATGAGTTACAGGTGTTTACATTTTTGAAGCATTTTCTTTCGGGCTTCTCAGCCTCAGTCTAAATAACCAACCCTGCTAACAAGGATTACTTTTTATAGAGGTAACATTTACACTCACTGAACCTTTTAATTTTTTTTCTTTCATCCTTTTTCCTCTTCAATTCTTCCAATCAGACCTTTTAACTCTTTTCTAAATCCCAACATCAAAAGGAAAACAAACACTAAATGATTTTGTTTCACTGCGGCCGCACTGCCTTGAGAACGAAGGAAGTGAGTCCCTAGCGGGGATCCGTCCTCCCGTCCTGGCGTTTGCCCGCAGGAAGATGGCGGCGGTCTCAATGTCAGTGGCGCTGAGACAGGCGTTGTTGGGGAGAAGGACAGCGGCTTCAGCTGCCGTTTCCGTCTCTAGAGTTCCAGCCAGGTAACATAATTATCAGCCTCGTCAGGCTCTCCATTCAGGTTTCTCAGGTCGCTGCGTTTTGGCAGAAGCCGGGCCGGCCGGGCCTCAGAGGCGGCCTGGGGGAGCGCGTCCTCGACTGACCCTTCCTTGGGGTGCGGGGACGAACTCGGGGCTCCCGCCAGGCGCCCGCGGGGCCTCTAGTTCTCGGGAGCTCTGGTTCTGCAGCCCCGGGAGAGGGTCTGTGCGGAGGAGCTGTGAACAGGATCTTGGTTCCCGAGAAGGGGAGGAGTCTGGCCGACTTCTCTCCCAACGTCCTGCATCCCTTCCGTTCTCACCTGTTTGCCCTGGCTGGAAGGTTAAAACCCTGCTCCCCTTCCCAGGCTGTAGCTATTATCTCTTGAGCTTCCAAACAGAAAGGTTGTTTTATTCACCATTCTGCAAACGAGGGAAACTTCTTAGGACTTCAGGGGTAATAATAATATTTATTGGAAGGTGATAGCGTACCTATTTTCCATCTTGGGGAGGACTGGAACCCCGGCTGTGAGTTCCAGGTTTGAGCTCCACCGCGGAGCTACGCCCTCAGCCAGCAAGGTGGTTTTTATTTGTATTTATTTTGTTTGTTTGAGACAGGATCACACTGTGTAGCCCCAGCTGGCCTGGAAATCAGATCAGCCTGCCAGCAAGATGATTTAAAAAAGGTTGATGGTAGTGTCGTTAAGTTTTCTCATCTACGTGTTTACTGACCCGGTACAGTAGTTGAGGGATTGTGGTTATTTTGTGATGGCACCCCTCCCCCGCTCCCGAAGCATTACTTTATTTTACGTATTTCTCTGTTTGCCTGAATTTATTAATAGCAGGTGTATACACATATTAGCGTTTTAATCTACGAGATAGCACGTTTTATCTCTTCTCTCACTGTTTGCTCCTGTATGGCCATGTATTGTCAGCTGCATGCTATGGAGACCACCCTAACTGTTCCCATTGAAGATGGAAGACTGTCAGGGCTGGGAAGCATGTGGTCGTTTTTTAGAAAAAAAGAAAAGTCAGGCGCAGTGGCACAGGCCTTTAATGCCAGCACTGTGGAGGGGGCAGAGGCAGTTGGATCTTTGCGAGTGCCAGGCCAGCCTAGTCTACAGAGAGAGAGTTCCAGGATAGCCAAGGCTACGTAGAGACCCTGTCTCAAACAAAACCAAGCCATTAAATTATTTTTTTAAAAAGGAAAACAGGGCCTATCAAAGTGCTTGTTAATTTAGTGTTAAACTAATACAAAAGGAACTGATTAGAACTTCTGAAGGTACATTTTATTACAGTTTTAAGTAGTGGTTTTGTGGGAAAGAAGAGGTTGCCCTTAGTAAGGTCAGGGGATTTGCGGTTTCGGGGACTGAGGATGTAGGTGAGTTGGTAGAGGACCTGGCATTCATGAGGTACTGGGTTCAGTCTGCAGCATCGAATAAACCCATTCTTGGGCACATAAACTGTAATCCCAGCACCCCGGAGTTGCAAAAGCAGGGAAAGGGAGGCTGTTCTGTAGGCAGAAGCAGAGCAGTGCATATATAATCAACAGTCACTGGAAAATAAATGCTGTTATACTGGTGGAAGTAAAAGGCACATTTGTAGTTAAGTATTTTACTTATGAGGAACTTAAGAAATACCAAGTAGTTCTCAAAGATAAAATACTCCGTGGTTAAGGCTACCATGGTGGTGATCTAGTTTAGTTCTGTTCTTAAATGTTATAGGTGTTATTTACAGACCCTAATACTAACATATTCGATATCGGATTGGAGCTAGACACAAATATAAGGGATCATTAGTATATTTCTCAGCAATTATGCTAGTTTAAATTAAGACAATACTGGATTTTACAAACTGATAGCTACTACCACACATCTAAATTTAACAGTTTCTGCTTGTGAATATGTTATTAGGGATTTGAAAATAGCTTATATAAATAAGACAACCTTTGTTTCTTATTTCAGAGAAATTCAAAACCCAGGGAAAATAATTTTGGCTTCACACTATTTTTATTTTATTTACATTGTTTTATGATATGCATCTTACTTGACAATTATGGTTCCCCTTCCTTGTTTATATGGAAACTTCTTACAATATGTGTTGAGAATAAGGCTTTGAAAAGGTTGAGGAGAAGGTTCCAATCCACCTGGGAAATTTAAATGTAAATTTCTTTTTTGGTAATCCATAAAGAAATTGCAATGACATGATTCTGCAGGTGTCTTGTGTGAAATAAGGGAGAGTGGAATCAGTAAGGCAAGTGCTGAGAGAGGAGTAGGGCTTCCCTACTACATTACCGTTTGGATTCAGTTATAAAGTCAGTGTAAAGAAAAAACCAGCCAGTAACATAGAGAAAGTCAGACCACAGGCATGTATTCAGACAGGAGCGAAAGCTGAGCAGCACTAGTGTTGGAAGCTTCTTAATGGCTTGTGTTCTAGAATGAGCTTCCTTGACTGAACATCCTTTGTCACCTGTTCTTACCCTTACCATCCATAAGTAGCCTAAAGGGTTTCCAACACAAATTCTACCTACTTAAGGTATGCATCTATTAATAGATAAGCTGGTTTTCTCTTTCAAAGCAGTGACACTTGGGACTTAAGATAATTGCCGTATCGGTAGGTTTTTGTTCATTTTAACATGATCGTGTATGTTTCTATCACCTGCTCTCATTTCTCTCCTCAGATTTGGACTAGAGTTTGTGTTTATCTAAAACAAAGCTCTGGGGATAGCAGGTCCCCACAGCATGTTAGTCTCTATGATGAAGACTAGGTGTACAGACTTTGTGAAATCTGTTTTATGTTCCCAATCTCTGCCTTTATTTTGTGGCCTCCTTTCCGACTGGGAAGTTGAGGTTGCACAGACCTCTTGTGATGGAAAGGAAAGTCTAAATTTGTAAACAAACATTCAAGATCAATAGGTTGGATTCTACCTGATTAAATATTTTTGCTTATATTTATTTATTTTGTATGCATGTGTATATATTCATGTGGGAAAGCAGGTCTTAAGAGAAACATCAGTGCTGGGCAGTGGTGGCGCACACCTTCAATCCCAGCACTTGGGAGGCAGAGGCAGGTGGATCTTTGTGAGTTCTGGTTGACAGAGTGAGTTTCAGGACAGCCGGGGTCATGTAGAGAGACCCTGTCTCAAAAGCCAGAAAACACAAACAACAACAACAAAACAACCAAAGAGACATTTAAGTGAAAGCCAGGTAGGTACTAGCCTACATAAATGTGAATTAAAAATATCTACAATATATATTTTTTATAATTATTTGCAGTGGTCTGAATTTAGGATATTCGCCTTGAACTCTGTTAATTTCCATATTAAAATTGTTTTATGAATGGATTTATACCTAGCACATTATGACAAATATCCTCACTCCTTTTTCATTCAGAAATTTAAAAATGGGAAGTGGAAATGAGTGATTTGTGAAAGGTACTTACTAGAATATGAGGACTTCTTTGAATGAGAATAATTGATTTCCCATGAAGATTTCAGTGAGGCATGATGGGAAAAGATGGAGCCCCTTGCTTCCTGAGTAACACCTGCTAGACTAGGTTTGGAGATGGGGTGGGTATAGAATTCTCACACCTCACAGACTGTTCGAATGAAGAAGCTTCTGCAACTTGTCATTCCTCTATCTAATGTGTGTAGTATTGGTTCTGAGCATAAACTCTGCAGAACTAGCTTTTGTAACTTAGTGATCCAGCCAGTGTGCCGAGGATGTCCCCTACCTGGTGTCTTGTATTTTCTCAGCAGCCCCGTGAATGGATGTTCTTGTTTTGTAGCAGAGTAGACAGGTACAAAAGAGAAATGACTTAAGTTCTCTTTGGTAGAAAAAAGTTTGATTTATTCATCAATATGTTGACTTTTGTAATGAGTATTATTTCTGATAACAGTAAATTAAAATTTCAGTGTCTTGTTTTTTCTTTTAGCAAAGAGTGTTCTTTGAAAAACTACTACAAAAACAGAAAAAGGAAAGAAAAACTGTCTACTGATGCTCTTGTCTTACTTCACCGTCACATCTCTACAGGGGCAGGGATGAATGTTGGGCTCTGAAAAAAAAGTAATTTTCTTCATGAATTCAGTATAAGAGATTTTTATAGGTGATTTCATTTTACTTTTTAACTGTTGCTTTGAGACAGTATCATTTGGCCAGGTTAGCATGAGACTCACCAAGTAGCTGGGATGACCTTGAACTCTTGATCCCTTAGCCTCCCTCTCAGGTGCTAAGAGTACAGTGAGTGCCACCATGCCCTGCCCTTTTTTATACTCTTAAGCAAAATATGTATAATGCATGTATTAAATGTGGAATCACAAACATATTTTTTTTTCTTGAGAACTTCAGTGGTCCTTAGAAAAACTGTATTCTACTTTTTAAAACTATTGAGTATACCAGCTATGCTTCTGTGGCTCTTGAGTCTGTTTTTTCTTTTTGTTTTGTTTTTCTAATTCTTCCTGCATTCTCCTTAGTAGTTTTGTTACCTGGAAAACTATGGTATTTGGGGATTTTAGTCTCATTAATAGACGACTTTAAAAATGGACTTGGAGAGAAGCTCGAGGACAGTTTTTATTAACAGTTAAGAGAAAAACAACAGACAGGCAAACAGCTCTTTGGAGCAGGAAAATAGGAGAGAGAGAAAGCAGCCGTATGGTGAATAAGGTAGGGTATCTTGAGAGAAAGAATAGGACTTCCCAGAGCACCAGGAACACACGCCCAGGCTTTGGTCAGTATCTGAAAGGAAAAGAGGAGAAGGGACAGCAGACAAACCAGATGTCAGCGGTGTGGAGGTGCTGCTGATGTTCTGAAGCACTGTAGGTAGCTACACCAAGGGCCGGGCTTCTGGGCAAGGTAAATACGGTGTCTCTCTCCTTCAGGGAATAATTATGTGAACCAGCTTTCCTGAGAGGTGCTCTCTTGGTCACATATAATTGACTAGCTAAACTGTACTAACTTAAAAAAATGATTTATTTTTACTTTATGTGTGTGTTTTGCCTGTATGTATGTATG